AGCAGAAAAACACCCCTAAAGCAGAATGTTTCCACCACCATGTTTCACAGTTGGGATGGTGTTCTTGGGGTCATAGGCAGCATTCCTCCTCCTCCAAACACGGCGAGCCGAGTTGATGCCAAAGAGCTGGATTTTGGTCTCCTCTGACCACAACACTTCCCACCAGTCCTCCTCGGCATCATTCAGATGTTCAGTGGCAGACTTCAGACGGGCTGGACATGGGCTTTCTTGAGCAGAGGGACCTTGCGGGGGCACTGCAGGATTTCAGTCCTTGTCGGCGGAGTGTGTTACCAATTGTTTTCTTGGTGACTGTGGTCCCAGCTGCCTGGAGATCATTGACAAGATCCTCACGTGTAGTTCTGGGATGATTCCTCACTGTTCTCATGATCATTGACACTCCACGAGGTGAGATCTTGCATGGTGCACCAGACCTAGGGAGACTGACACTTGTTTTGTGTTTCTTCCATTTGTGAATGATTGCACCAACTGTTGTCACCTTCTCACCAAGCTGCTTGGCCATAGTTTGGTAGCCCAGTCCAGCCTTGTGTAGGTCTACCATCTTGTCCCTGACATCCTTGGACAGCTCTTTGGTCTTTGCCATGGTGGAGAGTTTGGAATCTGATGGTTTGATGGCTCCTGTGGACAGGTGTCTTTTATACAGGTAACACAATGAGATTAGCAGCACTCCCTTTAAGAGACTGCTTCTAATCTCAGCTTGTTACCTGTATGAAAGACACCTGGGAGCCAGAAATCCTGCTGAATGATAGGGGATCAAATCCTTCTTTCCCTCATGAACATGCAGATCCGTCATCATTTGTTAGACGCATTTCTGCTGAATTTGTTGTTGTATTCTGTCTCTCAGTGTTACACCGAACATTCCATTGTTAGACCCGATCATTTCTGTGTGAGGGGCGAACATTCCATTGTTAGACCGATCATTTCTGTGTGAGGGGCGAACATTTCATTGTTAGACCGATCATTTCTGTGCGAGGGGCTGAACATTCCATTGTTAGACCGATCATTTCTGTGCGAGGGGCGAAACATTCCATTGTTAGACCGATCATTTCTGTGTGAGGGGCTGAACATTCCATTGTTAGACCGATCATTTCTGTGTGAGGGGCTGAACATTCCATTGTTAGACCGATCATTTCCTTCACTGTAACTGGATATAACATTTATAGGTAAAGGTGATCCAGGGAATATCCGATTGCCTCTCGGGGGATCAGGAAGGAATGTTTCCCTGCAGGAGCAGATTGGATCGTGCTTTGCTGGGTTTTTTGCCTTCCTCTGGATCAATGGTGGGTGTAAGATTATAACTTTTTTTTTTTTTTTTAATGGTTGAACTGAATGGAGTTTTGTCTTTTTACAGCCAGACTAAACTATGTAACTTCCTGTGCTGACTGTTGTCAGTCACACTCATTTGTTCTCAGCTACTTCTGTAGACTACTGAACCATGCCCTCTTATATTATAAAGAGGAGGGGGGTGGAGACCTGTAGTCCTAATGCCCCTTTCACTAGAGCAGACTGATTGGGTCTACCTTTCCGTCTTTCAAGCGGAACCAATCGGACACTCCATTGCTCTCTATGGAGCGGCGGGTGCAAATGGACATGTGTCTGATTGCACCAGCCTGCATCCGATCCGATAAAAACAGGCGGCTGGGGATCCTTTCCTCATCCGTCTGGCTGATCGGATTGGATGACAGTTGGATGGAAATGGACAGGTTTTCCATCCGACAGCCCATAGGGGACGGTGGGCTGTGTCCCTGTCTGCTCTGCGGACCTGTCATCTGCTTGCTCAGCAGGCAGATCCCCCAGTGAGCAAACAATCTCGGTGACGGGTCCGCCCCGTGTGAAAGGGGACTGATACAGTAGGGTGAGTGAGCATTATCGTCCTAGGACAGGAAGACAGCACGTGACAATAAAGGAAAAAAGAAAACTAATGCAGCCACCGCATTTGACAGTCTAATACATCTCAGTGTTCCGGTTTCGGTACACTTTAACGAAAAGTCGCGATCGCGGGCTACCTGTGTTCCGGATAATGAAGTCCAGGACCACCAGCCTCTCGAACTGTAACTGGAGCTGCCGGTTTGTGTTCTCAGGGAGGGGTTCCGTCTCAAACCTCCGCAGCCAATAATCTGCATCCTTATAGCCTTTAACAAACAACTGGAAGGAGCCCACCTAGAAGAAAATGTGTCAGGAGGTCAGACAAGAAACAGAAACTGTTCGAAACACAATGCGAGCCAATAATCCCCATTCTTGTGTGTGTAACCCCTTCAGTACCGGCACTTCCCACCCCCTCCCTGCCCAGGCCCGCTTTCAGCGCTCTCGCACTTTGAATGACAATTGCACGGTCGTGCAACGCTGTACCCCCAACCAAATTTTTCATCACTTTTTTAAAGCCAGATAGGACTTTCTTTTGGTGGTATGTAATCACCTCTGGGGGGGGGGGGGTTATTTTTTGCTGAACAAAGTAAACAAGACGAAGTTTGGGAAAACAAAAAGTTTTTTTAGTTTGTTACAAATTTTTGTAAATAAGTAATTGTTCTCCTTCACTGATGTGTGCTGATGGGGTGGCACTGATGGACACTGACAACCGGCACTGATAGGTACTGACAGGCATCGATGGGCACTGAAAGGCAGCACTGATGGACACTGATATGTGGCACTGATAGGCAGCGCTAATGGGCACTGATATCTGGCATCGATGGGCACTGAAAGGAAGCACCGATGTGACACTGATAGACAGCACTAATGGGTACTGATAGACTGCACTGATGAGGAGGCACTGATGAGCATTAACAGGTATCACTAATGGGCACTGAAAGGCAGCACTGATGGACACCGATATGTGGCACTGATAGGCAGCACTAATGGGTACTGATAGACTGCATTGACACTGAGTGCACTGATAAGGAGGCACTGATGAGCATTGACAGGCATCACTAATGGGCACTGAAAGGCAGCTCTGATGGGCACTGATATCTGGCATCGATGGGCACTGATATGTGGCACTGATAGGCAGCACTAATGGGTACTGATAGACTGCATTGACACTGAGTGCACTGATGAGGAGGCACTGATGAGCATTGACAGGCATCACTAATGGGCACTGATATCTGGCATCGATGGGCACTGATATGTGGCACTGATAGGCAGCGCTAATGGGTACTGATAGCCTGCATTGACACTGAGTGCACTGATGAGGAGGCACTGATGAGCATTAACAGGTATCACTAATGGGCACTGAAAGGCAGCACTGATGGACACCGATATGTGGCACTGATAGGCAGCGCTAATGGGTACTGATAGACTGCATTGACACTGAATGCACTGATGAGGAGGCACTGATGAGCATTGACAGGCATCACTAATGGGCACTGAAAGGCAGCTCTGATGGGCACTGATCATCACTGGCATCGATGGGCACTGATATGTGGCACTGAAAGGCAGCACTAATGGGTACTGATAGACTGCACTGATGAGGAGGCACTGATGAGCATTAACAGGTATCACTAATGGGCACTGAAAAGGCAGTTCTGATGGGAACTGATATCTGGCATTGATGGACACTGAAAGGCAGCACTGCCCAGCACTGATATGCAGCACTAATGGGTACTGATAAACTGCATTGATAGGCGACATGATGATGCACTGATGAGGAGGCACAGATGAGCATTGACAGGTATCACTAATGGGCACTGAAAGGCAGTTCTGATGGGCACTGATATCTGGCATCGATGGGCACCGATTTGTGACACTGATAGGCAGTACTAATGGGCACTGATAGACTGCACTGATGAGCATTGGGAAGCATCACTAATGGGCACCGAAAAGCAGCTCTGATGGGCACTATTCGTTGCACTGATAGGGCTGCACTGATGATCAGTGTATTTGTCCCCTCTGAGGAATGACGATTACCAGCTCTCCTCATGTGCTGTCAGTGGGAGGAGAGGACTGCCGATATCCAGCATTGCTGATTTACACTGATCGGCTGTGATTGGACACATCTGATCACATGGTCCTGCCTACGTCATCGACTCTTTCCTACGATCGGTGACCCGCGGTGTCCTAGTTCTGATTGGATCGCAGGTTCTCCTACCTTACCTTGGGAGGCAATCCGATCCGATTAAACCTCTGACCGACTTTTGGCACTTTTTCCAATGCCAGTTTCTTCCCCCTGGACTTCACACGGTCAATGGCACTGTAGTTAAAGGTTTCACTGGATAGATATACAACCTGAAAATATAAAAAAAATAATAATAATAATAAAATAATAATAATAAATAATAATAATAAATAATAAGGGACAGCACAAAATATTGCCCTATAATGGTTGTGTTCTTCAGAGTACACGAATATTTCAAAACCCTGATATACCGTATAGAAGGGGGGGGGGCTGTATTTGTGGAATGTGAAGGTCCTGGCTTTCCTTTAACAGGGTCTTGTCACCCAGAGGTGGGCAGGACCGTCTGTTACCATGGTTATCACATGATCAGGAGTTGGTCCCGTTGGCTCCCAATCATCACTAGAGACCAGGAGCTGTCTATGACAGCTCAGTCACTGTGCTGGGAGCGTGCTCAATGCCTACCCTCTTCACCATCGCACATTATGGTGTGGCACGGGCCGCAAAAGATTAAAGTCCATTGCCATATCACGGTTGTACAACTAATGTAAAAAACTTACAAGGCAAAACTTTTTTTTTTTCTTTAGTTTTGGATGGAGTAGAGAGGGATTAGAACCCCGGCCAGGTTTTTATAGCTGTCTGTGTCCCCGTTAGTGAGAGTCACCTTCTTTATCTGTCTTGTCAACCATTATCACTAAAACTGAAAAAAAAGTCCCACATTTTTGGTTGTCCCCAGAATAGGACCAGACCAGCCAGGGATTCCCTCACTTTGGAGGGATTTCCTCTCACTTCCTGTTTTGGTTATGGGACAGGAAGTGAAGGGAAATCTCCCTAGTGGGACACAGATGGCAAAAAAAAATCTGTCTCCTGAGCTCATCCCCTTTGCCTCCTCACTTTCCACTAAAACTGAAAAAAAAAAATCCCACAGTTTTGGTTGTCCCCAGAATAGGACCAGAGCGGAAACCTTCCACTGGGGACAGCCAGGGATTCCTTCACTTTGGAGGGATTTCCTCTCACTTCCTGATTTGGTTATGGGACAGGAAGTGAAGGGAAATCTCCCTAGTGGGACACAGATGGCAAAAAAATCTGTCTCCTGAGCTCATCCCGTTTGCCTCCTCACTTTCCACTAAAACTGAAAAAAAAAAGTCCCACATTTTTGGTTGTCCCCAGAATAGGACCAGAGCGGAAACCTTCCACTGGGGACAGCCAGGGATTCCTTCACTTTGGAGGGATTTCCTCTCACTTCCTGTTTTGGTTATGGGACAGGAAGTGAAGGGAAATCTCCCTAGTGGGACACAGATGGCAAAAAAATCTGTCTCCTGAGCTCATCCCGTTTGCCTCCTCACTTTCCACTAAAACTGAAAAAAAAAAGTCCCACATTTTTGGTTGTCCCCAGAATAGGACCAGAGCGGAAACCTTCCACTGGGGACAGCCAGGGATTCCTTCACTTTGGAGGGATTTCCTCTCACTTCCTGTTTTGGTTATGGGACAGGAAGTGAAGGGAAATCTCCCTAGTGGGACACAGATGGCAAAAAAAAAAAAAAATCTGTCTCCCAAGCTCATCCCGTTTGCCTCCTCACACATCACTGATTTCCTCACTCACACCAATATGAAGGCCACACCACTTCCTCAAACTCAATCTTTCCAAAATTGAGATGATTCCACCCCCTCATCGAGATCAACGGTACAACGATCAACCCCTCTCCTCAAGCCAGGATTGGAAGATGTCCTTACGGGTTTTGAACTCTCCTTTCAGCCCCACATACAATCACTTTCCATATCTTGCCAACTTCACCTCCATAATATCTCGGAAAGATGCCAACGAAGGAAACAACCGAGAATCTCATGCAATTCCTTCCATCACTCAGATCCACGGATTTCATCTAATATTGGTGCTGGTGGCATCTTATGGCACAAAATTTTTCCAAATTAAAAGAAATTTAAGAATTTCATGTTTTGTTGATTTAATATGTTCTGCTGTTTCTAAAAAAGATAATTTTTTTTTTTTTTTTTTTGGGGGGGGGGGGGGTCTAGCACCGGCCCTGTTGCTCATGTTCCATACAGTCCATAGACCGCTGAGAGCTGCTGCATGTCCTATTGAAGTCAATCATTCACTTGGACCAGCTCGGTCCAAACGTCACTAAAAAGCCGGAGATCAGATTTAATTTGAATCTAAAAGTTTTTTTTGTTTTTTTTTTTAATAAAAAACATATCAAACTTGCCTGCTATGTAATGGTTTTGCCCCGATATGCTTCTACCCCGCCGGTGCTCCTGGCTCCCCCCCTTTGATCAGTTCCCGTTAGCAAGTCGCTTGCAATGGGGGCACTGGACCGTGCTTGCTCCTGAGCCCTGCTCTACTCATCCATAAGACGCATAGAACAGCGGTTGGGCCCCGCCCCCCCAGGAGGGAAAGACAGGGGACAGTCGAGGCTCCCGAGTGCATCGCTGGACTGAGATGGGGCTCAGGAGAGTATTAGGGGGGGCTGTGGGGGGAGCAGCACACAAGGTTTTAATTTACCTTCATATGCATTGTGACGGGAGTCATTTTGGATGGGGGGCCCTTGGAACACAGCTCACTTTGGAGAGGTGGGGAGACCCCTATCTCAGCTCCCATATCCCTCTTATGTGTAAGTCACCCTGTGCCTGTCAGGGGTGCAGGGTGATCTGTCCTGATATTGTGTAGACATGTATAGGTGGGGTGGGGGGTTGTTCATTGTTTAATGCCATGTGGTTGTATCCCATTGTTCTATTGTGTGTCTTGCTTGGGAGCAAACTATTATGGGATGTATGTGTTTGTGTCTATTGGCTTGGTGGGGGGTGTTTTGGCAGCCCTTCCCCCTGATGGGACGGTCTGCTGATGTGTCTCTTGTTACTGGGTGTGTATTGCCTCACCTGTGTATATATCTTGTATCTATGTTAAAATAAAGTAGTCTATTTCCCGATTTATTTCAAGGCTGGTGTCATCTAGTCTTGTATGGTCAGCGGTGGTGTCCGTGGTCGGTGTTCGGACGGGGAAGCGGTATTATAACGGAAATACCCAAGCGCAGACTGGGACGGTTCCGTTACATGCATAGTATGCATGAAAGTAAAAAGCCTTCAGCCTTTACAATCACTTTAATCTGCGTTCACGTACTTGAAAGTAGCGTTTGTCTGCGGAGATATACCCCAGGTCTTACCCGTGTACGAGGAACAATGTTGAGCTCTAGTTTTTGGTCCACCAGGCTGGCCCCGGCCTCTGATAGATATCCCTGATTCAGGACAAGGCAATCTCTCCCGAAGCAGCACGGGCAGCAGAGTTTCTGTAACCATTTCGTCCACTTGGGGTTGAGCTGACCATAAGGCTCCTCGGTTTTTGGTTTGAACACTGCGATGATTTCCTGTAGAGAGCGAGAGAAGGGATTTACTCAAGGACAATCATGTGCTGATTCAGTCTTGACATAATGCCTTCTACAGACGGATTTTCTAAGTGTTTAGCCCGGGTGTGATTGGACTATAAACCAGCCAGTAATGGGGAGACCAATCCTCTGAAGAACCCACTAGATTCCTAGGAACACATTTATATAGTACTCAATTCCCGAATTACAAAGAGCAGCCGTGTTATAAAGCGAACGTTGGTCCAGTGGTTGGAACCATGTCCTTGCAATGCTGGGGTCTTTGGTTCATATAAAAGATACAGATAGTAAAGACTATATTGTCAGGTTAGGGGGACAACACAAAAAATCACCAATTCTGGTGTTCAATGGCAAATGCCAATCCAGCTTATGGTGCCAGGCAGGGAGCACAGGGCCCACTAGAGGACGTCGGGCCCTCAGGCCACCCTCATGAAGTTTGTTTCTGATTGTTTGGTCAGAGACATTCACACCAGTGGCCTGCTGGAGGTCATTTTGTAGGGCTCTGGCAGGGCTCATCCTGTTCCTCCTTGCACTAAGGAGCAGTTACCGGTCCTGCTGATGGGTTAAGGATCTTCTACGGCCCTGTCCAGCCCTCCTAGAGTAACTGCCTGTCTCCTTGAATCTCCTCTATGCCCTTGTCTCCTGGAATCTCCTCCATGCTCTTGAGAATATGCTTGGAGACACAGCAAACCTTCTGGCAATGGCAGGTATTGATGGGCCATCCAGGAGGAGTTAGACTATCTGTGCAACCTCTGTAGGGTCCAGGTATGGCCTCATGCTACCAGTAGTGACACTGACCCGAGCCAAATGCAAAACGAGAGAAAAAAAACAGTCAGAAAAGATGAGTAGGGGAAAAAAAATGTCAGTGGCCTCCACCTGTAAAACAATTCCTGTTTTGGGGATCATCTCATTGTTGCCCACCTAGTGCACCTGTTGTTAATTCCATCAGCACCAAAGCAACTGAAATTGATGAACAACCCCCTCTGCGACTTACCTGACCAGATTCCAGGAGTTTCACTGACTTGATGCTATACTCTGATTAAAATGTCTTCCTTTAATTTATTTGAGCAGTGTGTGTGTGTTTTATACATAAATACATTTTATATATATATATATATATATATATATATATATATATATATATACATACATACATACATACATACACACACACATACACATATATACACACAGTATATCTCAAGGAAGAAAAATACTTGGTGGCTAAGTCGAATATAAACGTACTATGAGCAGAACGCCTCTTTACTGGAGAACACACAATCAATATCTCTTTGGACGGAACGCGTATAGGGGGGGATGACATCATCACGCTTTCACTGCCAGAGCTAATATACCGAGTGGGGAATAATCCATTAATGGGAGCTGTTGATTTTTAGCTTAGGGAGCTTCCTGAGGACGGCGAGGCATGTAGAGGCAGTTTTAAAACAAAAAAAACTTATTCCTACGCCAAAGCTTTCCAAATAACACTCTAAAAATGCTGCTGTGCCAATCGCGAAAACACAAACAATATAAATATAAATAAACAGCGCAAATTTAGATAATCAATATAATAAATCATTAAAATAAGTGCATAAATTATTCGTGTTTCCCCTTAATAATAAACAAAAACACCCAAAAGTCCATGTGCTGAAGACATAATTAAATTGTAGAAATAAAAAAATAATATAATGAAAGTGCCAACTTCTTTTCTTCAAAAAATATTTTCACCTTCCACCAGTGCACACACCAACATTGAATACACTCACCAGAACTTGGTGAGTAAAAGACCTTTTAAGGAATTTTAGGGATCCTAAACCCTCTTTGGTGCCACGCTAGGGAAAATCTTCACCCTCCGAATAGACTCCACCATCCAACCAAAAGAAAAAAAAACTCACATAGCATAATATTGTCACACCATCGTAACTTTTTCCAAATGGAGATTAAGGCCACTCACATGTTAATCACTTGCTAAAGGCATGTTTATTATGTATAACAGGCTTCAGTTCCAGCAGATATACAACCTTTTCCTTCCAGGACTCTCACATCCACAATGGAACAAGGACAAAACTCCTCTTAGATCAGGGGTCTGCAACCTTTAAGACATAAAGAGCCACTTGGACCCGTTTCCGAGAGGGAAAAAAAAAAAGACTGGGAGCCGCAAAACCATTGCAACATTTAAAACAAATCCGACACTGCATATATTGCAAAAAGCGCTCTGGTCATGAAGGGGGTTTAAGGGCCCAGTAAGCAAAGGGTTAATCAGGGCCACAGTGTATCGTCATAATCACAATCATAGCCTTAGGTCAGTGGTGGGCGACCTTTTTTTTTCGACTGAGCCAAATCTCGCCAAAACCACGATTGAAATTTATTTTGAGAGAGAACATTTTTAAAACTGAAAATACATCCCCCATATAGTAATTCATCCCCCATAGTAATTCATCCCCCATATAGTAATTCATCCCCCATATAGTAATTCATCCCCCCTATAGTAATTCATCCCCCCTAGTAGTAATTCATCCCCCCTATAGTAATTCATCCCCCCTATAGTAATTCATCCCCCATATAGTAATTCATCCCCCCTATAGTAATTCATCCCCCATATAGTAATTCATCCCCCCTATAGTAATTCATCCCCCCTATAGTAATTCATCCCCCCTATAGTAATTCATCCCCCATATAGTAATTCATCCCCCATATAGTAATTCATCCCCCCTATAGTAATTCATCCCCCCTATAGTAATTCATCCCCCCTATAGTAATTCATCCCCCATATAGTAATTCATCCCCCCTATAGTAATTCATCCCCCCTATAGTAATTCATCCCCCCTATAGTAATTCATCCCCCATATAGTAATTCATCCCCCATATAGTAATTCATCCCCCATATTGTGTGAATTCACTTACCCTTTGCTCCGCACGTTCCTCTCGCTGGGTTCCCGCGCCGTTCTGGTCTTCAGGGCGGACTGTGAGAGGAGAGGAGTTCGTCACGCTGCCCCGCCTACATCCGGGCTGCCCCGCCTACATCCTGACAGCCAATGTTTGCCAGCGGGCGCCCGGCACACAGAAGAGCTGCATTAAAAGAGCCGCGGCTTGCCGACCCTATTGCCTGTCACCTGGTGGGCAGTGTGCTCCGGAGCCGCAGGAAAGGTGAAAAAGAGCCGCATGCGGCTCCCGGAGCCGCGGGTTGCCGACACCCGTCTTAGACCAAACAATGAACCAAGATGGCCGCTGGAACGCACCGCTCCGCGTGCGTTCCACTCACCGGAAATGACGTCAGGCGCATAGAGTGTGGACCGGAAATGCGTCAACGCGTTTCGCCCCTCCCATAGGGCGTTATCAAGACTGCTGGAACTGAAGCCTGTTATACATAATAAACATGCCTTTAGCAAGTGATTAACATGTGAGTGGCCTTAATCTCTATTTGGAATAAGTTACGATGGTGTGACAATATTATGCTATGTGAGTTTTTTTTCTTTGGGTTGGATGGTGGAGTCTATTCGGAGGGTGAAGATTTTCCCTAGCGTGGCACCAAAGAGGGTTTAGGATCCCTAAAATTCCTTAAAAGGTCTTTTACTCACCAAGTTCTGGTGAGTGTATTCAATGTTGGTGTGTGCACTGGTGGAAGGTGAAAATATTTTTTGAAGAAAAGAAGTTGGCACTTTCATTATATTATTTTTTTATTTCTACAATTTAATTATGTCTTCAGCACATGGACTTTTGGGTGTTTTGTTTATTATTAAGGGGAAACACGAATAATTTATGCACTTATTTTAATGATTTATTATGTAGAGGCAGTGATCAGATCCACCACATCCGGTTTTGTCCACTGACGTCACCTCCAGTTCCGGCCATTGGAATTGGCTCCAGAGAGTGGAGCGGCTCCGACGTCACACACTGAGTGTATTGGTGCCACGAGATATTGGCTGCCAAAATATGTGAGTGTACCCTTTTTATTTTTAACATTGGCATTTTTATCTAATAAATACTACACTATGATCATTTATTTCTTCCGATTTATGGCGATCAGCTACTGAGGGATATGGGGATGACGTTTTATAGATTCTATAGAATATAATCGCTATTAGTGAGCTGAACAATTCTGGGAAAACAAGCGCATCTGACCTTCCTTTTAGTTTAAGGGGTCATGGATATGGGGTGAGTGCACTGGAGGGGAACATGATGGTGGAACACAATCAGGAAATAGGAAGAGGCGCCAATTATTGAGCACTGCAAGAATCTGTTTGTACATCGCTTGGTGTGGAACTTTTTATTCATTTTTATCAATTTCATGACTTTTCTTTATGTTGGAGAATGGCTTTTTTTTTCAGTATTACTATGTGAAAGTTGGTTGAAAGCGCCGTGCCTTTATTATTTATTGGTTTTTAAACTGCCAAATCTTGTATTATGGTTGTCTAATATTTTACATCTATAGGATTTTTTTTTTGTGTTTTTTGGGCAACGCTACACTATATTTGGTATTATGCATATCTGAATGAGACCCAAAGGCTCTTCTGCCTCCTCCTCCTTCCTTTCCAGTGGAACACCACCCCCCCACACAACCCCAAATCTTTCCTTCAGCCTATAACTGGCTGAACCCTTTGGTGCTCTATTGGACCCCTGCATCCTAAATCCCATGGCAGCAGTTTGGTAGTGGGGATATATGGTGCTTTCGTGGTCCCATTGGACTTCCATGGGCTACAACATCTTAAATCCCAAGGTAACAGATTGGTAGTGGGTTTATGGTGCCCTTGAGGTCCTATCAGACCTCCACTTCCTAAATCCCTAGCCAGCAGTTTGGTTGGTAGTGAGGATATTTATTATTTATTTCAGGTACTTACATAGCGCTGTCAATTTACGTAGCGCTTTACATATATATTGTACATTCACATCAGTCCCCGCCCCCGAGGAGCGTACAATCTAAGGTCACTAACTCACATTCATACATACACATACTAGGGACAATTTAGAAAGGAGCCAATTAACCT